AATTTTAAAAAATTGTAATTTTACACGTCATTTTATGGAGATTCGTTAACCGAACAGATTAAATTTATTTTTATTAACAGAAAAAAAGCTACCAGAAATTTCAAATTTTTATAATAAGTAACTTGAACTCTGAATCACTTTAGCGTAAGGTTATTCAAATTCACTAAATGGTTATCGAGGAAAAAATGAAAATTTAGCTGAAAATCTCGTTTTTACTTGATAATATAATGATAATATTTATAATTGTCTGAAATAAATGCAATTTTAAAGTTTTAATTTAAACATATTAAAAAGTTTTACGCTCATTATTAATAGAGATTGAAACTAAATAATTTTTTGTTTCGAAGTTGAAATCAAGGCATATTCACTGCCAAAAGTCCATAATTTTCCATATTATTCGTTATTTCTTATTTTGTTCAATGTTTTAGTCAAAATCCAAATTTTCTCTCAAACCGTATACTTTTTTTTTAGGTATAGATAGTATTTATTTACCTCATGATATGCTGCAAAACGTAATTAATCACGAATTTCTAATTTTATGTACTCTTGTCTCCGATTGTACCTCCCAAACATCCTTAAGCAAGCGTCATTGCAATTTTAAATTCCAGAGAATGTTGAACTTTCTTTAAATATGCTCAAATTCTGCTTGTCATCCTCTCTTTTTGTTACCCATTAATTGGTGTAACGTTATTTCTCTTTGTTTATTAGTGTCCGCTGCAATTCCTACCTGACATCTCTTTTCTATGTTCACGATATTCCCTACAACGTCTGTCGTGTGTAAAAGTAGACTGTAGTTCTGTCAGTAACCGCTCTAGTTTAATTAGTAAATTAAAAGAAAAAAGTAAATGCGACAGTTTTTTTATGGACCATGCTAATTTAGATCGTCCCAACTATACCTATCCTTGTCTACTTTTCGGGACATTTGCAGAACACCCTTTCGAACTTTGCAATGCGTACCTGATATTTAGCCTGATTCAGGTAGTTTAACGAAAGGTGCTCCATCACTGATGAATATGGCACAAGTTTTTTTTCAAAAACTTTCGAAAGCAATTTCATAAGCCTCTCGTGGTCGGTCGCGTTCATTTCAAAGAAATGTTGAAAATCTAATATCACAACCTAAGAAAAATGCCAAACGTTTCCGAACAGCATGGAAAGATTTAATTAGTCTTCCTACCTCGTTCGGGTGTTCGTTAAGAAATTGATTTATAGTCCTTAATTCTGTTTCAGCATCACCTGCGTATAATCCGTGTACGAAATAGAAATCATTCGAGCCATCTTTTGTCGCGGTTCGTAAATCGAAATACCGGATTCCATAGATCAGTTGCTCCATTACATTTAGAGATTGGGTTTTTGACCAACGGGACATTACAAGCCTAAGAACTGGTCCTAAGATACTTAAGGTTTTTATAAAGCCCGCGGCGTCTGGTGATACTGTCGAATTTCTCGTTATCGAAAATGTCATACTATCATGGGTACCTAAGGAGAAATATACCAGTAGAATAATAATAATATTAACAGGTACCCATTTGGCAGTTTCTAGATTTTCTTGTAATTATAGACGGGTATACATGGGATAGAGGCGGAAATTTTAAAACATACAGGATAAGAGGTTGGAGATCGTATGTTTAAGTTGGTTAGTCACATTTACGAGACGGGGAAAGTCCCAGAGGATTATAAACTGAAGGTGGTAGTAACCATACCTAAAAAGAGAGGCGCGAATAGGTGCGAGACATTTAGAACAACTAGATTAACTTCCCATGCGTCAAAACTCTTAACTAGAATTGTACAGAGAAGGATAGAAAAAAGGGCGGAAGAACTATTAAGGGAAGATCAATTTGGGTGTAGAAAAGATAGAGGAGGCCGGAAGCACTTTACTAGCTTTACGGGTAATATTAGAGAAAACGATAGAAAAAGGAGAGTGCGTACATAGGATTTGTAGATTTAGAAAGAAAAAGCTTTTAAAAAACTTAGTTTGTATAAAGAGCAACAGGCAGTTACAGAGTTGGAGCAGCAAAGTAGAGAACTAAATATTAGAAAAGGAGTCAAGACAAGGATTCACACTGTCACCGCTACTTTTTAATCTATACATAGAAGACGCGATCAACATCATTAAAGACAGTACAACTGTAGGGATAGATACAGAGAGACAAAAGATTAATATGCTTAGATTTGCTGATGATATAGCAGTATTAGCATCTAGCACGGAAGAGTTAGAGATAACTTTAAATAAAATGGAAGCGGTATTGACAAAACAGTATTGTCTGAAAATAAATAAAACTAAGACAAAAATATTGGTATGTAAGGGAAGAAGATAAGAGACGAAAGATTAGAAGAAGTGGCTGATTTTAGGTATCTAGGAAGCCAGATAAGTCACGACGGAAGGAGTAGTAGGAATATAAAACAGAGGATAACGCAGGGTCAAGTTTCCTTCAATAAAAAGAAGTCACTTCTATGCTCGCGAATTTAGAAATTAAAGGTGTATGTTTGGAATATTGGAGAAAAGTAAGTTAACGATATAGTAGAAACAAACTAACTACTGATTTACAATTGTAAGGATTGACTTCAGATGGGAAACAGTGGAGATGCTAGTCCAACTATTTTTTGGACTAAAGGCACTATGATGACGATGATGATATGCGTATTAGAAAACAACTAAATACTGATAAAAGTCTGTACTGAATCTCGACTTAAAAGACTGGCATCAAGATTGAGGATTTTGTTGTTTTTTAAGACTGGAAAATAGTTCAACTAAACTAAGAATGGTATCAAAATCTACATTTGAAACACCACAACTAAGAGTATATGCAATTATTGACAAAATTGCCTAAAAAAAATAACCTAGGTAATTAAATGAAAGATCTCAGTTAGGAGTGAGCTTACTAAAATCGGAGAGATACTGCTACCGCATAAAAGATTTCAAATCTATAATTTGTGGTCTACAATGGTAAAAATTAAAATGAAGTACATGATTACGTATTTGAAAACATGTATACGATGGCGAAGTTTGACCTACAAAGCACAAAACCGAAGTCAAAATTGATATTTGGCATGAACGATTGAAACGGAACTTATCTCTGGATTTCTGAGACATTCTGAAATAAAGAAGGTAATCAGGTAAATACCAGTAGAGATATTCACGTTCAGCTGATATCACTTTAGACATTATTAAGCATCCATTTAACAGTATATAAATCTAATCGTAAATGACTATGGAAATACAAAATTCGAGTACACGTTTGAAAGGTCATCTTTTTAGACGAGGTTTCTCAACTTGAAAAATGAATTTGTGTTTATTTATGTAACCAAACAAGCATGAACTATGAGCTCAACTTGAATATAAGAACTTCTAGACTGCGAGGTGCCATTTATATAGTGATGACCCTCGACTCCTAGAGACTCTAAAATCGTTCTGAGTTTTTGAAAAATTTCTTTCCGGTACGGAAAGACAACATGAATGATAATGTCTTTTTTTGGTTTACAAGAAGTTTTTATTTCCGCATCTCCCCTTCCCCTAGGGAAGCTGATTTTAGTGAAAATTGAAAACGCCAATATCTTTTTAAAAAACCTAGAGGGCGTTACTTTTCATTCATACTTGTTGAAGACCATATTATGCTGAATTGTAGCCAAAATTTAAATTTCAAAAAAATGCAATATTAGATAAAATTTTTAGTGGGGGATTAAAAAATCCGTTAATACAACATATAGATTTGAACAAAATTATGGAAATATTTATAAGAAGGTTAAAATTATTTCGTATTTTGGTGAAAGTTGATGGAGATAGAATCTCCACTGAGAGTTCAGATGTTGACCTTTCCAAATTTCGTGTAATAAAGAAGCATCACTGAATACAGAAAACACAAAGAACTGCCAAAAGGATAATATTTATAATGATAAATCGGCAATTATTACTATTTTAGAATTCTTAACTTACCAGGGATGGCAAGATAAATAATTGAAATATTTTTCAACCGAGGAGGTAGTTCTCTCATCCAATTTTCCAAATCTATGTTTAATTCTTTTGTGTTCGCCGAAGGGGTATTCATTTTGGGAAACGTAAGTGGACTAATTGCTAAACCAATTTGTAAAACGAATAAATAAACTGTAGAAACCACGGTTTTCACAAATTCACCATTTAAACATAGTCCACAACGTCATTTCTTTGTTTAATTTAGAAGAACAAAACCAGGAAATGATGCACAGATTGTTGTTATGTTAACCTATGTACTTATTTATTATTATTACATCGATTTCTCACTTAAATCGACTGGTTTAATTACAATAAAACGTAGGTGTCGTGGACAGAAAAAGTCGAATAAAAACAGACTCATAGGCGTTGCAAAATAGCACACTTTATGCAAAAATGAAAGCGTACAATAAAACACCTGTGTAATGTTGGCTGCCTGTACTGAGGTGCTTTGTATCCAAATATTTCAATTAAAACACTAGTTGAACCCGCTCAAACTTGGACGTTTATTTGAATTAGACTGAACATTAAGAAGGTATAACTTGCGATTAGTATTTGTGAGAATATTGTGAAAAAATGTGCTAAATAGAGTCCTACTATAATATTTTTTTATATGCAAGCGGGGATCCTACAGTTTCTACCGCATGCAGCATTTCGACCTGTTACACCATTTGCCTTGCCAATTGCTCTGTCTCTCATATAATCATTTACACCGTTTGTCTTATGGTCGACGGTCTTCCTCGCTTTCTTTTTCCTAGAGAGCACTATTGTAGTACCCCTTTTTGACATCTTTCATCCCCCATCTTCTTTACGTGTCCATACCATTGCAGTTATTTTGACTCTATTATATTTCAGCTGATATACACTCTTCTCGTTCTTTGTCTAATTTTTTTATTTCGTAAGTGCTCCATTCTTGATTTCCGTCAGGATCATCTTAGACTCACAATTCCTACTGTTTTCGCCATTCTTCTATCTTCTGCCGTATGTTACCAACATTCAACAGCGTACGTTAGAATTGGCTCTACCAGTGTTCTATATATGGCTATTTTCGATTTTACTTGACCACAGATAGAACCGGATTCAGCAAACCAATTACTTTTTTATCTTGTTACCTACTTCCCAAATGCACTGGGCGTACGTGTAGATCTGAATCATCAATTTGTCCATGTTATACTTTTGAGTATTCGGTTTTAGTGATATTTATACTGAATCCCTATCTTTGGTATTCTTCTCCAACTTTTCCACATCTCTCTCACAGCCTGTCACGATCACTTGGTCATCCGCCAAAAATTAGGGTCGTTACAACAACCATCTATTCCCATGTCTCTACTCCTTCTACTCCATTTTTTTGGTAAGCAAGGTAGATGTCAGACTGTACCCATGTCAACGTCCTTCCGATGTCGAGAAGGGTTCCGATTAGATCTTCCCCTGTCTTGTGACACTTCTTGGATTCTTGTATATATTCCACATTGTACTGACAAATTTCATAACCATCTCTATCTGTATAATCACCTCAAACAATATTTTCAAAGATACCGTACCGCTTTATCCAAGTCTATAAATATCAGTTATGCCCATGTTTCCAGCCTTCTTTTTTTTGTTATTTGTTGTAGGACAAATATGTTGTTTGACCAGCGTGAAACCCACATTGTTGATCTATTTCTTCAATATGGTCCTCTATTATTTCTTTCAGTCATCCCATTGGACTCATTCCTCTGTAATTTTACACATTCTTAATCCTCTTTTTTAAAAATAGAGCTTATATACTCAAAATTGCAATCGCCAAAAAATCATGGATCATAGGGTCGTCAGTCTGGACACACATCTGCCCTATTTCCTATCCCGAGTCAATCCTCGCATTTTCCTAAACTTAAAACTAGTCTCTAACTAGCCCTTAATGCCTGAAAAGGTGACCCACCAACTTATCTCGCCTATTTCTGTTCCACGTGGTTAGTTTCAATGTTCTTTTTCGTTTTTGATTAAATTGTCCTTTTTCCAAGGCTTTTTGTTAAAATTTGTTAGCAATTTCTTTTTCTTTCGAGGTAACCAATAATAGTAACCAAATGATTTTCTAAATATATAGTAGATCATTCCATCCACAATATACTGAAGGCTGAGTCAATAGTAAATGGAATTTTCAAACAGTTTCTTTTGTTGCGAAGTTGCATGTTTAGGTTTAAATTGATTTTCAAGAAACCTCAATAGTATACGTAGTAGCTATAGTAAGGTTTATTTTACTAGAGATTAGCTGTTAACATAAACACCCTGAATCACACTTAATCAAATTTAAAGAATAACATACTGATAAGATACTGCTCATTCGCAGCCGCTTGAATGCGACGTTGCGTTGTCGTATTTCTTTAGGACTGGAATTGAATTTACCTGTACTTTCAATTAGTTTTTTCTTGAAAACGGTGAACTTTTGGATAAACAAACAATTACCAAATTGTCATAGTGCTCTTTCACCTCCTGCAAACTCGACATTTATTTGTGTTACACTCTATAAATGGGGTATGTACCCTCTAACACTACTTTCGAATTGGTTATTAAGTACATTGCAGACATTGGAAAAGTTTTGACTCCCCTTAAGAGAAACTATTTGATATAATTACTGAAAATAATTACAAAACCTATGCTACAACGTCAATGATTGCAAACACACACGCTTATTTTTTTTATATAATAAAATATTTTCTGATTTCTGTTGATCTGAATTATTTTCAATGTGGTGTCGTTGACTTTTTGCGAAATGTGTTTTGAACTACCCACCTCGAATACTTTGAAGTATTTATTCGGTCATTAAATTTATTTGTTTGTTGTTTCTACTAAATTACATATAATGACAGCAATTAGTTAAATTGCTTGAAAGCAGTAACTTATGGTATGAAAAACGTTTTTAGAAATGTGACAAATGCATAAGTAGCAAATGAAAAAACAATGTAATTCATTGTAAATATGTATCTGTTCATTAGTTTAAGTTTTAAGTAATTGTATTAAGTAGTGAATATTTAATAGCAACATTGTACTGCAACGATAATGTGTAAACAATATTAATGTGAAAATTCATTTTCGATTTTCTGTCCACTACAAACTTCCTCGGGTTAATGAGGGTGTGACAGCAAAACAAAGATATTTTTCCCCATTAACCTGAAGAAGTTTGTAGAGGATAGAATATCGAAAATGAATTTTCACATTAATATCGCATATTAACTACTATTAGTAATTAAAAATATAAACCAGGAAATGATGCACAGATTGTTGTTATGTTAACCTATGTACTTATTTATTATTATTACATCGATTTCTCACTTAAATCGACTGGTTTAATTACAATAAAACGTAGGTGTCGTGGACAGAAAAAGTCGAATAAAAACAGACTCATAGGCGTTGCAAAATAGCACACTTTATGCAAAAATGAAAGCGTACAATAAAACACCTGTGTAATGTTGGCTGCCTGTACTGAGGTGCTTTGTATCCAAATATTTCAATTAAAACACTAGTTGAACCCGCTCAAACTTGGACGTTTATTTGAATTAGACTGAACATTAAGAAGGTATAACTTGCGATTAGTATTTGTGAGAATATTGTGAAAAAATGTGCTAAATAGAGTCCTACTATAATATTTTTTTATATGCAAGCGGGGATCCTACAGTTTCTACCGCATGCAGCATTTCGACCTGTTACACCATTTGCCTTGCCAATTGCTCTGTCTCTCATATAATCATTTACACCGTTTGTCTTATGGTCGACGGTCTTCCTCGCTTTCTTTTTCCTAGAGAGCACTATTGTAGTACCCCTTTTTGACATCTTTCATCCCCCATCTTCTTTACGTGTCCATACCATTGCAGTTATTTTGACTCTATTATATTTCAGCTGATATACACTCTTCTCGTTCTTTGTCTAATTTTTTTATTTCGTAAGTGCTCCATTCTTGATTTCCGTCAGGATCATCTTAGACTCACAATTCCTACTGTTTTCGCCATTCTTCTATCTTCTGCCGTATGTTACCAACATTCAACAGCGTACGTTAGAATTGGCTCTACCAGTGTTCTATATATGGCTATTTTCGATTTTACTTGACCACAGATAGAACCGGATTCAGCAAACCAATTACTTTTTTATCTTGTTACCTACTTCCCAAATGCACTGGGCGTACGTGTAGATCTGAATCATCAATTTGTCCATGTTATACTTTTGAGTATTCGGTTTTAGTGATATTTATACTGAATCCCTATCTTTGGTATTCTTCTCCAACTTTTCCACATCTCTCTCACAGCCTGTCACGATCACTTGGTCATCCGCCAAAAATTAGGGTCGTTACAACAACCATCTATTCCCATGTCTCTACTCCTTCTACTCCATTTTTTTGGTAAGCAAGGTAGATGTCAGACTGTACCCATGTCAACGTCCTTCCGATGTCGAGAAGGGTTCCGATTAGATCTTCCCCTGTCTTGTGACACTTCTTGGATTCTTGTATATATTCCACATTGTACTGACAAATTTCATAACCATCTCTATCTGTATAATCACCTCNAAGGATGGTACTATAGAATGTCACCTCAAGGTAGGCCTAGTGGCGTCATCTCTTGGTTAGGCCGGAAACTTATCAATCCACCCTCGTATATACAACTAAAAAACAACGAAATGCCCATAGTAAAGGTAAAGACAAACTTTGTAAAAATCACGGACGAATGGCCCACTGTTGGTCCATGCATAAAATATATGGAAGTATGTTGTATATTCCGAAAATAGATGTGTTATTATTGCACATGTTATAAATAAAATGTTTGTGCCAGTACATATGCCGTTAAGTCGTTAAAATGAAAAATAACTTAATTTATATCGGATAATCATGTACGTGTAACAACGAGCTACTAGCTACTTTAACCACACCCTGACTTTTCCACACTTTTTAAACCAAGAGTGTTCGCACAAAAAGAAAACAAAACAAATTAAATAAGTCTCTTGTTCTAATGACACGTATAATTAGCTCTCTAATAATGGAACAGGTGCCTTGGTATTACCATTTGATTAACATTTATAAGAACTCGGACAATGCTCGAGGAGAAAACCACGACCTCGCATTACTAATGAGTCGATTATTGTTAGATTAATTGGTAAACATGTTCCTGGTATGAAAGAGAATACTTCTATCAGTTGCAATTGCATGCTATAAATCTACAGTTCACATAAAAACTGCTTGAGTCTACTATTCTTCAGCATTTGCTTCTTATTTTGAGAAACAAATTTTAAGGATCTGCAATATTATAGGAGCTTTAAGAAGGTCGTTAATCTACACAATTGGGTCCTTACATAATGATGTTCTATTAGATCAACCATATGTGCGCTTTTTCTTTTTACGTGTCGAAGATTCCTAGCTTTGTAGACAACTAAATAAGCTTTTGGTCTTCTGTTATTGGTATTCGGAGGAAGTCGGGAAGTACCCTTCCTTCAAAAGGACTTCATCATCATAAGGTCGTCAGTCCTAAGACTGCTTGGACACGTACCTCCACTCTTTCCTATCATGAGCTAAACTTCTCATTTCCCTAAAACTAGAACAGCCCACAACCTTAACTATTTGCGAACAGTAATCTAACCTAGGTCTACCTCTACCCCTCCTAACTCCTGTTTCTGCCTCTAATGTGTCTCTGACTAGACCTTCATGCCTGAGAAGGTGTCCTACCAACCTATCTCGCCTATTTTTTATTGACTTCCATAGAGTCCTCTGTTCTCCTATTCTTTCCAATACCTCTTCATTTCTAACCTTTTCTACCCACGATATCCTCATCATCCGCCTATAACACCACATTTCGAACGCTTCTAACCTTTTCTTTTCCGCCGCTCCCACTGTCCATGTTTCGCACCCGTACAACGCCGTGCTCCAAACATACACCTTTAACAACCTTTTTCGAATTTCTAAATTAACCGTTCGCGAGCATAGAAGTGACTTCTTTTTATTAAAGGCGACACGACCCTGCGCTATCCTCTGCTTTATATCCCTACTACTCCTTCCATCCTCACTTATCTGACTTCCTAGGTATCTAAAATCAGCCACTTCTTCTAATTTTTCGTCTCCTATCTTTATATTCGCTCTTTCCCTACTTTTTCTTCCCTTGCATATCAGTATTTTAGTTTTACTTTTATTTATTTTCATACAGTACTGATCTGTCAGTACCGCTTCCATTTTATTTAAAGCTATCTCTAGGTCCTCCTTGCTAGATGCTAATACTGCTATATCATCTGCAAATTTAAGCATACTAATCTTTTGCCCTTGCAAAAGGACTTATTTGGTGGTATTCACAATCCCGTCAGTCTTAGGTATGCAACTTTCTTTTGTGGGGGTCTCTTTCTTCTGAATTGAGGGTGTCATCATGTCTTCAATATAATACCTGTCGAAGTTTGCTAGCTTTACAGCCAGTTAGAAACCCTTTTTCTCTTCTATTCTTGACATTCGGATGAAGTCCAGAAGTACCCTTTCTTCAGAGGGACTCATTTGGTAGTATTCGCTATATGCAATCAGTAATATGTATGCAACTTTGTTTTGGTGGGCTGATCTCTTGCTTCTGAAGTGAGGGTACCATCTTGTCATCGATATAACAGGTGTCGAAGGTTCCTGTTAGCTTTGCAGCCAACTAGAAAAGTTATTCGCCTTCTATTCTTGACACTGGGAGGAAGTGCGGAAGTCCCCTTTCTTCAAAAGGCCTCATTCCCACAATCCCACCAGTCTTAGGTATGTAACATCCCTTTGGGGGGGTCTTGCTTCTGAATTGAAGCCGCCATCTTGTCCTCGATATAACAGGTCTGGAAGATTCCTATTAGCTTTGTAACCAACTAGAAGAGCTTTTGGTTTTCTATTCTTGATATTTGGAGGAAGTCCGGAAGTCCGCTTTCTTCAAAAGGATTCATTTGGTAGTATTCAAAATCCCATCAGTCCCATATATGTATCTTTCTTTTGGGGGGTTTTTTCTCTCTAATTGTATTTTGATTGATTGTTTAATATACCATTGTTGTAATGTTATAGCTCTGTTCTTTTCTCTTGTGAGGGCTTTCAGCTCTCTATCTATTAGTACGTAATCCAGGAACCTCTGACCCAGTTGTTTAGGTAGCAATTGTTCTTTTATCCCTTTTCACTCATTTATTTGCTTTTGGTAAGAAAGCGTTCGAGTTTACCATTTGTTTTATTGCTAATTTTGAGATACTTCACGAATTACCTGGCTTATACGAATAACGGATACTTTTTTCCAAAAGATTCGAATACATCTTTGAAAGCACAAACAGAAACCCTACACGGGGGCTTGAAAGTCCAAAAATCTACGTGTATTTCTATCACAACCATGTTAACACCTTTCTACAACAATTAACGCCATATCGGGCATTCGTAACAAGTTTGCATTCATGGTGGAAATGATAGGGAACAGCGTGAGCTAATTCCAAATCTTCTGATGATGGTGTACACAAAATTTGCATATAAAATGTGACATTATGACCGATATGGAATGTTTTAGGCAGTGGGTAATAATTTTAGGAAGAAGTAAACTTGCATTAACTTTTGTGATTAACTGTAACTGTATAGAATAAATATGCCTGCATACTCACTGATGACCTTATGCAAATGACATGTTATAAAGATAAACAATGACAATAATACACTCTATCTGGCACTGTGTACAACAGCTAAAACAAAAGTGAATTTTTATCACCGAGAAAGTAAACAGATAGCGTATACACAAAAACGAAAGCGCATTTTTTAAAATGCTATAGCACGTGAAAACAAAAGCGATGCAAATCCAATTCAAAAATAAAAAATGAGTTTTTCGCAAAATAAAACCTCTAAAAATTGTATACATTGTAAATAATTTGAATCATGATCAAAAATTATAAAAATCAGGGGCGGCCGATGTATATGCATTTGGTGCTGCAAGCTGCAGAAGTGCCAGAAATATACGTATGTATTTTTGTAAACTTATTACTAAAATTTATTATTATAATNAAAATTTATTATTATAATAAAAAATTTCAAATGATTTGCTTCTACAAAAACACTTTTCATCGTTGTTTCAAGTTATACCAACAAATCGGAAACATTTCAAACAAAGACCATCGTCGACTGGAATTGCTTTCCAAAGTTTCGTTAACACAAGGGCAAGTTTCTTCAAAGCTCCTTACATCTCCGATGCTGGATGTGTACATGGCCTTTAGATTCGAATCAGGCCAGCATCAGATCATCAATTGACCGTGGAAGCCCTTACTAATTTGTAGCTCAAACACGTTTTTTCTTTTTCTTAGTAAACCGGTAGAGTTGGAAAGATTTTTTTTATGAAAGTCGAGAAATGTACACTACTTATTTAAGTTGTAAGGAAAAGTCGTTTGTCATCATCACAAGGTTGTCAGTCCTAAGACTGGTTGGACATGCACCTCCACGAATTCCTATCCTGAGCTAATATTCGCATTTCCCTAGAACCCACATCCTTAAGTATAACATTCCACGCTCCGACTCGTGAAATACTGCACCTACCCCTATTGCACTTATTGATGACATCCCCCGAGGTAGTCCCCGCCTGGACATCCGAATGGGGGACTAGTTTACGTCCAGAGTGGTTTACCCCACAGGACGCCATCATTTAATTTGTACAGTACGTTTTACTTGGGTTTTACATTATGGTTGAACCTATGGCCCGGCTCCTTAAATCATCGAAACTCGCAAGCCGATCCACTCACTCTTTGTAAAAGAGTTTCGTCAAGGTTCGATTAAAAAAAATGTTTAACGCTTCACGATTTTGCGTGTCAATCCTGCGCAAGTCGTTCGTATCAATGCAGAATTGATCGTTTAAAAAAAACGGAAAAAATCTCTGAAATTAGTTAATGCAATTAAGTACTGATGAATGATATCAATTTTTTTCAAAATCATTGATCCACTACACATCTACTGCAAACTGGATTTTCAAATGTTGGCGTAAAACCAATAACGTCTTCACATTTAAAAACTTTTAATGTTCATAACTGAATGTTAAAGACCATTAATATGAGGTTGGCCATTGGTCCTTGCGCTCCAAGTTCGTCTATATTAACTACGCCACTGTCGTTCATACACGCGAAGGCATTTCTCGACGACATGTTGTGTGCGACGCCGTTCTGCTTCGACAGCCGTCGTGTTGTTTCACCTAACGGTTCGACCAACGACAATTTTCATACGACAAGGCAACGAGATCTCCATTTCGAAACGACAGTTGTCGTGAGGTCGTTGGTAAGGCAGAGGGTATTTTTGTATGATCGCACAATAAAATATAGTATAGGTAGATGAAAGATGAGGGACGATCCGGCTTTCAACATTAAATTCCTTGAAGTAATAGAAAAGCACAGAGTACTGTACGACTACACCATGGACCAGTACTCCAATCGGCACATTCAGAAGCAAACATGGAACGAAGTTGCCGCAGAGTTAAATGAGTCCAGTGAGTATGAAGTATCATTATTATTATTAGGCTTAATTACGCATGGTACCATTTAATTTGATAAAAAATTCGAATGTAATGGACTAACGTAAAGTAAGATTTTAAGTTTCAAGGTCAGCGAAGGCAACAAGTACTGATGTACCCAATAAACCCCCCCTCCCCAACTCACGATTGAAATACTTTACTTTGAGTTATCGTATCATAAGTAATATTGTAATAAGGCATTAAAAGGCACCACTATCACTAGAAATATGAAAATCTCGTAATGATTTCATATCGTCTGCCTATTTCTGGAAAATTCAAATCGGTACCAAAGTTATAATAAATCAAACTGTCTGTCTCGTGGTAAGTATAATCGGCCTAGGCTGTCAACAGACGATATAAAAACATTATCAGATACATAACTAAGATCTATTTGGTTAAAGCTGCAGAAGATTGATATCACCGGAAATCGTCTGTCGATAACTAAGTGCGAAATATTTTTTTCACATACCTTCTATGAAAATGTCAACAGGGCTAGATCTAAGAGGGGGGGGGCGTCGGCCTTGCAAATACACAGAGCGACAGCATTGAGGGGCGCCGGGTGATTGCACGAAGAGAAAATTTTTATAAAAATTATAGTGTTCAGAAACCCGACAAAAAGTACCTAATCTTTTCTTTTTTTTTTTTTTTTTCTTAAAGATGCTGTAATTTCATAGACAGCGCAATAGATTTTAAAGAAGGAACTAACCCTTTGGGGCACTCAAATATAATAATTTTTAACTATTTTTGGATTCGTACAAGAAAATTCTCCCAAAATCTTTACCAACTTTACATTTCTGAATTGAAAACCCTTTTCGTTTCGTTTAGGTATCCCAGGGATTCCCCAACTACGTTATGAGAAGTAATTATTTCCGATATTTCGTTGGTAGGTAATATATTTTTTGGGAAATATTTTATTATCCTACAAAACGATGTTTTAGTAGATTCCCCAAGTTGATTTGCTTGTCTATGTATGTATGCAAAAAAAAACAGTTTTCTGGAGACTAATGGTAATAATGTTCGTCCTGGAGATTCATTTCTAATACATTGCAGTGTAGTATACTCGTTCAGAGACCCTAGTAGACTAACATGTGAATATTATACAATTTCAACAATATTACACACATACAATGTCGGTCGGTCAATAATTGCACCATTCCATCTCTGGAATAACATGTTTATGACTTATACAAAGTGTCATTGTAAAGGGCGGCAAATATTATTTTTGCCAGGAGCGGCTAAGTTACTGGATCGGGCCTTGAATGCCAGACAGTAATTATACTGGCCCAGCATTAGCTAGTGAAACGGCAACTTCGATCGATCAAATGTGTTTCACTATAAATCACCGATAAAAATGACATCGTTCCATGACGCTCGCCAACAGACGAATGATGGAACGAATTTAATCCGTAAAATAAGAATTCTAATATAAAGTGAGCTTTGGGAAAACTAAAACATCCCTTACACTATAACAATTAAGTGCTTATTTAACAGTTTGCATTTCTTCATCAGGAATTGACATAAAATCTATTTACAAACAATATTAAATGCAATCTGACCCTGTCTACCTTAACGCTTCTACCACTATTAGAATTATTGTACGTAAAATGGATCTTCATTAAATGAAACGTTATTTGTTTGAAAGTTAAATTTTCCTGACGAATTATCTGCCCTCATCGTCGTAAGGTGTTCAGAAATGATTCGCTGTATAGTGGTTAACAGTTCAAGTCTTCGTTGTAGGAAAATTTTTATTAAATCATTAAGTCCCGTTCAAAAAGTCGTCTAACCCTTAACCCAATGAAATTTTTTTGTTTAAACATTGGTTAGATCCGCACCTATACTTGTTCCTATCCAGAGTAAATCTTCACATTTCTCGAAAAGTAGAGTAATCCACATCTTTTACCATTTGCAAACCGTAAACAGTAAATTTCCTCTATGTCTACTTCTGTCCCACTGGTTCTTGAATTACTATTCTACCCTCTAGAGATCACCCCAATGAGGAACAAATGTTACTGCTGCCTCGCCCTCGCCGGGAATCGAACCTCCATCAGATGGGGTGGGTGCCCCTAACTAATCCTTTATATCTAAGAAGGTGTCCACCTACTCGTCTCGTTTATATCGTAATGACTTCTAAATCTCCTCATGTCTAAAAACTTTTCTATCCGTGGTGTTTTGAACATCATCTTAAAACACCACACCTCAAACGTACTTAACTTTTTCGTCCCCACTGTACTCGTTGTCCACCGTTCATAACCATGCAGAGTCACGTTTCAAATACAAACTTTTAAAATTTTTGAAATTTCCAAAAGCGATTTGTTTTTGTCAAAGGCGATCCGGGTCTACATCTCTACCGCCTTTTCAAAGAATCTGTAGAACTAGAAATAATAAGCAAAAATGTTGTTGCAGCTACAGCCTGCAAAGAAAAGTGGAAAAACATTCGTTCAGCATTTACCCGGTATCTACGACAAAAGCCTAAAAAGAGTGGATTGGCCGCTAAACTACAAAGAAGTTATTACTTGACAGATTATCTCCAGTTTCTATTACCTTACACCAAATCACGAAGCAGTATTCCTGCTCAACCAGAAAAACATGACGAAACAAATAACAGTTTTGATGAAATCGACGAAACGGAAGGTATCGATTTTGAAAACTTTCAAGAAGAAACGCCAAGCGAAGACGGAATTCTTTCAAACGACCAAGAGTCCAATATTGATGAGACTTGCATTAAGCAAACAATAAAGGCTTCCAAACAAACGGATCCATTAGAGGGCGAATGCGCTATGGAAATCTTTCAATCGACAAACAGCAGGATGAAGGAACTTGAAGATTCAGATGTACAATTTGTTTCGAAAAATAGTAGGATGAAGGAACTTGAAGATTCAGATTTACAATTTCTAAAAAGTATTTTACCAGATATGCGTCAAATGAACAGTCGCCAAAAATTTCAATTCAAAATAGGGACGATGCAACTTATTGGTCACATTTTATATAATACGTCTGCACCGAAGTCGCATATGCATGCTTCAACATCAGTTAAAACATCTCCTACACCAAATCCTCAAACTTATTGATTGATTTTAGTGGATCTTTAGCGGGATCCTTCACTTAAGGACTCAAATGCATTCAACCAGCGACACAATCTCCATGTTCAATTACAAGTACACCATCATGTATTGAATAGTAATAATCATAACTATGCTCTAAATGCCTCCAATGGATGGTAATTGTTAATAAATAACTTTTCGTTATTATAAACTTATTACTGTCAGAATTATTGTAAATTTATAGAAATAAAACACTTTTTACTTACGGTAATGTTCTTGTTAATTTTTCTTTGGGGAATATGAGTTTGTGCTACTAAGTTTTTTCAAAAGTTTCTTTTGATTTAATACCTACAAATAAGGCTTCATCCTTGTTTATAGTAAAAGAGGGGTGACTCCAAATCTTTCAAATCCTTTCGAGATACGAACCAAGACCGAATAAGCAAAACAGTCTTGATCTTACTTTCCTTATCACAACTTAAGTCTAATTAGTTTCTACAGGCCAAGAACTTATTGTACACCTAAACCAAGATTTTAATAGTCGAAGAGAAACATAATCTCCTTATTTTCCGAACATGCTACCGTAAAACTTGTCAGTATTCCAGACAACTTTGAAATTTCGTGACCAGCTCTTAAGACTAAGGTTCAGGCATATAATTGTGAAAGCAAAACCAGTTTCCACTGTATTTTGCAAATGTAAGACGAAACCAACAGTGCACTTTACCATGAAGAAACGCCTCCCCATCCTAGTCTCAATGCTACTTTTNGTACTATGTAGTGAAGAGGGGTGACTCGAAATCTTTCAAATCCTTTCGAGATTTGTCTCATCCGAATCAAGACCGAATAAGCTTAATAATAACTTAGGTCTAATTAGTTTCTATAGATCGAGAACTTATTGTACACCTAAACCAAGATTTTAAAAGTCGAAGAGAAACGTAATCTCCCTATTTTCCGAACATGCTACTGTAAAACTTTTCAGTATTCCGGGCAACTTTGAAATTTCGTGACCAGCTCTTAAGACTAAGGTTCAGGCATATAATTGTGAAAGCAAAACCAGTTTCCACTGTATTTTGCAAATGTAAGACGAAACCAACAGTGCACTTTACCATGAAGAAACGCCTCCCCATCCTAGTCTCAATGCTACTTTTGACCATTACTTAGTTGCTATTCAGTATCGTATTATTATTTTTTTTTATTAAGCCAATATCCTCGCCTATACCGAATGGAAAGCAGCAATTATTACGAATTGGCTGCGATACTGCAGCATATACGAGATCTATTCAAAAAGTATGGTGAATTTTAAATTTCCGGGGGTTACATATATTCGATTTTCAATTTTTTGACGTGACAACGTCTTATAATTCGATGGAGCCGGCTGCACGCACGAAAAAACATGACTCATGCGGCGTTACCTTGCTCTGAGGCGTTCCATTTAAGGCTTGAAGTGCAAGCGAGAGCGCGGAACGAGCGACAAAGAGGCACAATCGGCCTCCGCGTTCGGCAGCGTTCGACATCTGTCTCTCTCCTACTTGAGTGAGCGATGCGTCCGCGTGGACAGCTGCTATACAATAATACATTTCCATTTACCTTCTCTATATACATACAAAATATCTATCAAACAAATAAAATTAAAATTTTCTTTTGAAAAATGAAACCATTCCATCAGTATTTTCTTATGACGTTGTCACGTTCAACTATCGTCAGTAAACCGACTTTACAGACAACCGATTTTTTTTGTGGCGTTATGTTGATAAAACGCCCGGATTTGTGGAAGAACAAAAATTGACTTTTGCACCATGATAACGCCCTTGCTCACACGTAGATGCTTTTGCGCGAATTTTTTGGCCAAAACCAACAATTAATAATGCCGCAGCCACCGAATTGCCCAGATTTGGCCCCTATGATTTTTTGTTGTTCCCGAAACTGAGGAGGCCCATGAAAGGACGACGCTACGCTACAATTGAGAAGATAAAGACGGCATCGAAGGAGGAGTTGAACAAGATCACAAAAAATGATTTTTTGAAGTGCTTCGAGTATTGGAAAAACTTTGGCACAATAGTATAAAATCTAGTGGGGATTATCATTTTGAAGGGAAAAAATAGAATAGAAAAAACACGAGAACAAACCTCGTATGCTCTTGAATGAATTTTGTTCATTATTTCATGACATTATCTGGCACAAATAAATTGACACATTACAACAAAATACGATGCATTAATGAACCTGAACCACACCATACGACCTCAATAATATCTGCTTTAAATAGATTTTAATATGTTTTCGTGTTTACCAAAAGAAAATTCGATAATTGCATACACATACCTACATGCATGTCACAAACTTGCAAAAATAGATAGGTTTGGTGAAAGGTAATCAATTTGTATAAAATAAAAAACGCTTTTTATTATTTATATAAGAATGAAATTAAAGTAAAGGAATTAAAACACTTGGCAAGTTTCACAATATTCATTTATTTCTCTGACGATCCAGAATTTTGGATACTCTTTGAAAATGGTTTAAACACCGAAACGATCGTCAGAGAATTAAATGAACATTGTGAAATTTGGCAAGTGTTTTAATTCTTTTACTTTAATTTTATAAAAATGTTTCGCCAAGTGCCAAGCGAATCTACAATTTCAAATATTTATATAATGGGTTTTTAAAGATCTCATGAACCATATGACACCTAATAAGGCAAATATTTATCTGTTGTTATTTACTAACTGACGAGATAAGATAAACAAAAAGATACTTATTGGATTTGTTATTAACATTATAAACTTGTTGGTTGGAAAATATGTTATTTTCCAAAAGAAAAAAAGCTCGGAGATAGTGGAAAAGAGATTGTTCATAATCAGAACTGCTTTTAACAAAAACACAATAACATGCTTGAGCATTTAACAAATAAACCCAAATTAATTTCCACAGTATTACTTCTGAAGAAACCTCAAGGAGGCGAAACAATTGTAAAGTTTTTATTAATATATTTGTGGAAATTAATTTGAGTTTATTTATTAAG